CTTAAAATATTTTATTTTTTAAAAAAACTTATATAATTAAGTCCGATCCTAACCTTTTTTTAGTTGGATTCAGATTGACTCATCAAGTTTGGCCAAAATTATCAATTATACATATATAAAAAGCTAATAACTCCAACGATGAGGTTCATTTTAGACTAAACTTATTTGAATCATGTTTAAAGTATTATATCCTTTTTAAAAAGATCATATAATTAAACTCATCCCTAACTTTTTTCAAGCAGATTCGGATTGACCTGAATTACTAGATCTAGGATTGAGATCTCATAATCTCCCTATGTACGGTGCCCTTTAAGAAGTGAGGGACAAAACCATAAACTTTGTTTTTTTGGCAGGCATTTTTTATTTTTTTGGGTACTAAAGAGGGGAAAGCCCTGAGAGTCTAGAAAATTACAATAGAAGGCGATTGGGATTCCAGTACATCAGAGAAGACTAAACTCCTAACAAAAGTAAGAGCTACTTCAAAAAGAGAGGAATAAGATAATCCTTCCTTAGCAAGCTTGTCTGCAATTTGATCTTGCTCTATTGCAACATATTGCAATCTGACATTCCAGTTCCATTCCTGGCAAGCATTTTGTTTGTAAGAGTAGAGGAATGTGGTGGACATGGGAAGAAAGGGTCAAAGTGGACTTGGTCCGCTGCATATTCTGGAAGCCCATGTATAACCAATGCATGTAATGAGTGAATTTTATTCCCCCTATATTGATTTAATTAGCCTGCAATCTAAGTGCGGTTTTAATATGACGAGCATGCACGGCAAGGCAATCAAACATTAACATTAATCTCAATATATAAAAAATCATACTACTATTTACAAGCCACAGGTACTATAATCATTTTTACATTGAAAATTATAATATATGTTGTGAGACCAAATAACAAATAAGGTTAATTATTCATGGGGACTCCAGATTTCTGAAATTATTCATAAGAAGCTCGGTCAAATTAAAAGATGCAGAAAGTATGCTAATGCAAGTTTTTTTCAATGTTTAATAGCCATATGAAGATTAGAAAACTTAAAAAGTGTTACTCCAAAATTTAACCCTCAGGTTTAGAATGTCTCATTAATTCAACGAACTTATATTTTTTCTAATAAAATTTAACACTAAAAAAAACTGAGAAGTGCAATTTTCAAATTTTATTCTCAATATAATTTTAAGATGGCTCGTCGGCCAACAACTTACATAAAATGTTTTTTAAAAAATAATTAATATAATAAAATATAAATCAGTCAATATTTATTTTTATTTCTGTATTCCTTAAATGGGGGAGAAAGAATAGACAGTCAAATCATAAAGGTAAATTAATAATTTTCAATTTTTCAATATAATTACAAGTAAAAAATGATGTATTTTAGAATCTTTGACCGAATATTATTAATAAATATTTATTTTTAAAATCATGTGTTTTATACTTTGTTGCCTTTACGTGGCTTCCAACAATTTTCTATATATGTTTTCCAACAAGTGGTATCAAAAGCTATTTTTCCTGTATTCACATAATTCAAACATATTTAAAAATTTATATATTTTAAAAGGGACCAATATTTTGAAATGCCAAGGGTTTGGCAACATACCCTCAATAGTCATAGAAGTATCAGAGGAGACAGGGAAAGAAAACAAACTAAACATGAAAATAGAGCTAGCCAAAGCTATGATTTACACATGAGAAAGGGAACTACGTGTTAACACATACAAAACTTGGTGTCCGGCTTCTAAATTAGTAAATTAAGCTTCAAAAAGGCTAGCAAAAACTATCAAAAAGTTCTCATTAAACCCTGGATACATAATGTTAGCGATGTATGTGGCAGATTCAAGAGTAAAGAATCCAGGCTTGAGAGGGGAAAAAAGCACTAACAAACGATTACAAGAAATAAACAAATATTAATTAAACTGCATCTTAACAATTATGACTTGCACTCAAGTCTAATTCATCGTAGGTTCAAGCAAACGATCGGATGAAAACCCTCTACGTGGCAGATTCAAGTCAATAATCCAAGCTTGAGAGGGAAGTAAAGTAGTAACAAACAATTACAAAAAACATGAACGAGAGGGAGACTTAAGAAAAATAGGGCACTAGAAGCATTGCCCTGATTGGTTTCAGCTCGACTCTCGCTTTTGAGTGAGGAAAATGGGCTTATATAGAATTTTGATTTCCTTCCTACATTTCACGCATTTTCTAGGCTTCTGCTCCACAGTGGGATTTCAATAACTTAGGTACCTACTTGTGATTAATGGCCCCATGGGTCCTTAATTATCATTTTCCCTTTGTAATCAGTGGTTCGGATATAACGGGTTATACAAACGACATCGTTGGAGTGTATAAATAGTTAAATTTGAAAAATTAACCAATAATCTAACGATCTGAATTTGGTTAGGAGACGGATGAAAAGGGTACATAAAAGAATCCTTATTGAAAGCAAACGAGCAATGCCCTAATAAATCAGGGTATCTACTTTGGATGCATTTTTTTGGGTATATACTTGCAAGCATTTTGTTAGTGGGGTAGTGGGATGTTGTGGACAGGGGGAAGAAAGGGTCAAAGTGGACCTGGTCCACTGGTTTTATGGAAGCCCATACAACTAATGAATGCAACAAGTGAATTTTATTCTCCCAACATTGATTTATTTAACACTTAATCTACTTGTAATTCCAACATGATGTGGATGTGCAGCAATTACACATTAATTACCACTACTTACAGGCCAAGCATAGTAATCATTCAAAAATATAAAACTTGAAAAGGAATCAATGACGGGTCAGTTTTATATTGAAATTGAAAATCCTAACATATGGCGATAGACAAAATAATGACTAGGATTAATTATTCATGGGGACTTCCAATTTATGAAATCATTCATAAGAAACTCGGTCAATTTAAAAAAAAACGCAAAAAGTGTGCTCACCCAAGTCTTGTTTTATGTTTTTTTAAAAAGTGTTACTCCATGTTTAACCCTCAATTTTAGAATGTTTCATTAATTCAACAAACTTATATCATATTTTTTCCTAATAAAATTTACCAGTCAAAAAAAAAATTAAGAAGTGCAATTTTTAAATTTCGTACTCCATGGCTTATTGGTCAACATTTTACATCAGAATTTTTTTAAAAAAGAAAGAATTAATAGTCATGCAAATGAAATTTCGAGTGTCACTCATAAATTTAACACTCAATTTCAAGATGTCTCATCAGTTACACGCAAGTAATCAATTTCAAAATCAACAAGACCTTAAAAATAACCAAAATCAACAAGAATAATCTCAAAAATTGAAACCTGATAATCAATTTCATTATTTTGATCCCTATTTGTATTTATTCCTGGGCTTTATGCTTTTTGTTTTTATTATTTTCACAAAAGTTTTAGCATCGCAGGGCACCTGATCTGAGCGTGGTAATTCGGTGACGGATTTATTTGAAAATTATAATAAATAGAACAAAATTCATGCATTGGTCTAAATTTATTTAACAGGAATACGAAATTAATTATATAAAACTTGTTGAATTGTTATAGTTACATTATTCTAATCATAACATGTAAAAAAAATAGAATACACTGGTTTTGATCGAATGATCATTATACATTTAAATTGAATTATTAATTCATCATATTGCGTTTTGACATAAAAATTGTAATGACTGCATAAAAGTATTGCTCTAAGTAATTAAAATTTTTAAAAAAGTGATTCAATTGACGCATGAAAAGAATCCATTCCGGATACCAAAACCAGGCATGGCGATCACCGGCTAAAGGAGAAGAGGATGGGCTATTTAGAGGATAACGTGAGAAGATGGTCCATAACGGATCACTGCCGCTGGTTAATACTTAATTTGCAAGAGGTTTGGTTTCAGAGGAAGACAGTAATACGGGGCATACTGAACCAAAAGGGCGAAAAAGAGAAAAGTGCACGCAGGCGCATGAGACTCTAACCTAACCACCTTACGAAACAGAACGCCGAAACGCACAGCGAGCTGCGAGCACATGCTAACTTGCTGAGGTTACAGTGCAGTTTTGGCAAGACTATAATTTGTAACGTGATTTAACCCGAATTCGCTCCACCTTTCCCGGGCGTTATGCGCAGCCATTTCTGTCCCAGCAAGCATCACACTCACTAACCCATCACGCCCACCCCAGGCCTGCTTTATTACCTTTTACTCTTTCATGACATTACCTGTGGTGCTGGTGCTTTGTTCGTGACTTCCTCTTGCGACTTTCCGGAACTGCACCACGTCATACTGCAAGCTTTAATTTGGCTCCTAATGCTTGAATTGACCATACTTATCCTATTGTAACTCTTAAGTTTAAATAATATGTTTTCTGCTAATTGAAATTGAAAATGTCCGCAAGCACTGTAAGTATAACTGTATACGCGTGTTGTGAGCTTTCCCTAATAGGCTACACTCATAGTTAATTCTCATCAACAATGACAAGTGCTGTTTTCCATTCTCTTTGCATGAAAGAATCAGAGTAAAACAAAAAATATTGTTTGCATAGGCTCGGGTTTAACTGTTTGTCCCTTGTCTCCTTTTATTTTGAAGTAAAAAACTTGGACTTTGATAAGCGAAATGTTATTAATGACGATGGCATTTTTATTAATTTCTTTGAATCTTTAAACCAGGCAACTTTGCTGGGACGGTTTAGCATATAATGTTATATTTTATACGAAATTGATAATGGTTGATCCCCATTTTTTACAGAAAGCAAACTTGTCAAATAGGGCTATAGATAAAGTTTTGTCGAGATTCTGTCCAAATTACATTAGCATTATTGTATCATTATCACATTCAAAGGATTAATATGGACTCACACAGACTCGAAATAAAGAAGCCATACCTTTGTTTTAGCATAAGCCCATCACTTAATTCGACGAAACACTTGATTATTACCACGTGATATAAGGCGGCCTATAGCTCCGTCCTCGCGTGTGTGGGCCCCCCACCGGAAAAACCTGAGAAATACATTTGTGGACGGCAAGGATTGCGTTGGGGCTTCACTCTCTTTCACGCACTAACCAAGATGACAGCTATATATATACACGAGTCCCCTCATCAATTCGCCTCACTTCACAGAGTTCAGATAATTGATAATATATCAACTAGCCATGGTTACGCATGGATGTCTGTATCTGTGGATGCTTTATATCATTACAGTATTATCATGCCTGGGGGCCGCGCTGGCCCAGTCGGACAACTACATCGTCCATATGGACTTATCAGCCATGCCCAAAGCCTTCTCCACCCGACACCACTGGTACTTGGCCACACTTGCCTCCGCTACTTCCGACCCTGCTTCTCCTTCTTCCAAGCTCATCTACAGCTATTCCCATGTCATGAATGGATTCAGTGCGAGGTTGTCCGCTTCTGAGCTTAATGCCCTGAAAAACTCCCCCGGTTATGTTTCTTCCTTCCCTGATTCCCCCGTCAAACTCGACACCACTCGTTCGCCCCAGTTCCTTCGCCTCAACCCCCTCGCCGGCGCCTGGCCCGAGTCCGACTACGGTAAAGACGTCATCGTTGGTTTGGTCGACTCTGGGGTTTGGCCAGAATCTCAGAGCTATAACGATGATGGCATGTCCGAGATACCTTCCCGATGGAAAGGCAAATGTGAGAACGGCACCCAGTTCAATTCCTCCTTGTGCAACAAAAAGCTCATTGGAGCTCGTTTCTTCAACAAAGGGCTGCTAGCCAAGAATCCCAACGTGACGATATCCATGAATTCGGCTCGTGATACTGAGGGTCACGGAACTCACACTTCGACCACCGCCGTTGGCAGCAGAGTTGAGGGTTCATCTTACTTTGGCTATGCCTCTGGCACGGCGACCGGCGTTGCTCCACGGGCTCGAGTGGCCATATACAAAGCCTTCTGGGAAGACGAAACCTACCAATCTGATGTCATAGCTGCTATTGACGGCGCGATAGAAGATGGGGTGGATGTTCTTTCCTTGTCGTTTGGCTTCGACGAGACACCCATGTACGAAGACCCCGTCGCCATAGCTACTTTTGCGGCCATGGAGAAGGGGGTTTTTGTCTCTGCATCAGCAGGGAACGATGGGCCAGGTCTTCGAACTTTGCACAACGGAACGCCATGGGTCATAACCGTGGCTGCTTCCACTCTGGACCGTGAATTTCTTGGCGTTCTAACCCTTGGCAATCGTGTTCCGGTCACTGGCAGGTCCCTATACGTAGGGAACTTCCCTGCAACCCAACTCCCACTGGTTTTTATGGGATCCTGTGACAGTTTGAAGAAACTGATCAAAGTGAGGAGTAAGATAGTGGTATGCGAAGACACTTACGAGAACAGCACCCTGCTTGATCAAATGATAAATCTAGACAAGGCAAAAGTTTCGGGGGGTGTCTTCATATCCAATAACCAAGAAATAACAATCGCCCTCCAGTTCAGCGATATCCCGACCATCTTTGTGAGTCCAGAGAATGGAGAAGTTCTGAAGGACTATATCAGCAAGAGTAAGTCGCCAAAAGCAAGCTTGAAATTCAAAATCACGTCTTTGGGTACGACACGTGCACCTATTGTAGACTTTTACAGCTCTAGAGGACCGTCCCAAAGCTGCCCATTCGTGTTAAAGCCTGATGTCACAGCTCCCGGAACCTTAATCTTAGCCGCATGGCCTCCAAACATTCCGATTGGGAGGGCGAAGTCCAAGAATTTGTTCGGCAATTTCAACTTGGTATCAGGAACGTCCATGTCGTGCCCGCACGTGGCGGGAATAGCAGCTCTCATAAAGGGAGTACATCGTGATTGGAGCCCCGCCGCCATTCGATCAGCCATAATGACATCATCGGACTTGGTAGACAACGACCTCGGAATAATCAGAGACCGTGGGCATAGATACGAAGCAGCCTCTCCCTTGGCCATGGGAGCCGGTCATGTCAACCCCGATAAAGCACTTGACCCTGGTCTCGTTTACGATGCGGGAACTGAGGATTACGTGAATCTTCTGTGTGCGCTAAACTACACTGTAAAGAACATTAAGGCCGTCACCAGATCCTCTTCTCATAATTGTTCCAGCCCCTCCTTGGACCTGAACTACCCATCTTTCATAGCCTTCTTCAATCCCAACGATACCGCCTCGACAGTCAGGGAATTTCAAAGAACTGTCACCAATGTCGGAGAGGGACCATCTATCTACCAACCTTCGATAACACCCATCGAAGGGCTTAATGTCAGCGTCATCCCCAGCGTGTTGGTCTTCGCGGACAAGAACGAGAAATTAAGCTACAAGCTGAGAATCGAGGGCCTTGGAGTCCTGAAGGACGAGGTGGCTTTTGGTCAACTTATCTGGTCGGACAAGACACACTCGGTTCGGAGCCCTATTGTAGTCACAAGTCTCAGCTCAAAACCGAAATTGTCACACTAGAATTGCTTTATAAAAACTGTAAACCAGTCAGCGTGTGATATGAATAATACAATTGTCATCGAGCTTCTAGTGCTAACATTATTAAGTCGCGCCCATTCATGATAATATATAAAATATAAATTTAATTCAAATCAAGCATGATAAAATATATTTTGAAATGAAAGATCACTCGCTCGAATAGAAAAGATAATGAAACAAAAAGTGAAAAAATATATATATATATATATATTCACTTACTCTCTCTTTCTGTTCGGGATTATATTTTACTCGTCATTAAAAGGATCCTTTGATAAAATCTCAAATAAGGCACGGTGAAATATTATATTTTACTGTCACTTTCAACAAGCTTGAGCTCCAGATGTTAACTAGTTGACCAATTTACGATCAACTACGTACTCATCTACGTGACAAAACCGTAATGTTGGAGAAATTATTGCTCGAAAGGTAAAGGTGAAATTGGGACAGTAGAATAGATGTGCGGATGAAATGGAGAGGGACGAGTGTGGCAAAAGGTTGGTAAAAGAAATGTGGGAAGGAAGAAGGCTGCATAGGGGTGTCATGAATGAGTTTTAAAGATTATAGGTTGCAACTTACAAAACATTCATCGTTTACGAGAGCATTCTATTACCGCATCTCAATTTCAGTCTGGGAGAGACAAGGATAAATAAAGGAAATGCAGAAAGAGGCAGGTGTTAATACTTGACACTACACATGGTCTAAAGCATTTGCAAAATACTCCCTCTGTCCTAAATTATAAAACACTTTTAGAAAATATTTAACATCCCAAAATATAAAATACTTTGATAAAATAAAGTTTCATTAATAATACTTTTTCAATATTATCCTTTCTATATATTTTCTCTCTCCAATATTCTTTCATCAAAAGAATATTAAATAAGATATTTTTAAAAGTTTATATTTTTATCTTAAAAAAGTAAGGTTATAAAGTGTATTCAATGAGCTTTATTGATATGTGAGATTTTTTTTAAAAGTATTTTATAATTTGAGACGAAGGGAGGATAATATAAAGCTTAAGAAAAGTTGAATATTTCTTTTATACAAGGTCTCAAATTTTTTCTCATGTCTAGATATAAGACCTTTATATAAGCAAATATCAAATCACTTGCTATGTTCTTCCAAAAATATTTGCTTTTCATTATCAAGACTGAAAAGCGGCTTTAGAAATCTCATTTTAATAGGTGAGCTTTTCATAACTGGCTTGGAACAATATTTATCGCAAAGAGAGAATACCAAGGTGATAATTGAGATAACAGTAGTTTTGCGATGTGAGGTTAATTTCTCGAGAACATTAATTTCAACTAGCTTTCTTCATCTGCGTAGTTCAATTAAAAAATATTTTGTAAAAGAAAAAGAAAAGAAAAAGGAGGGATTATCAATTATATGTCAGTAATTGTGATACATGTTCCCAATATTTAATCACATACATAAGGGATGATGATACCAAAAACATACTTCATCCAACTCTTTTTATAAGACCTTGCTGATCACTTTACGTTAATTAAGGAATTTAATGAAAATTAATCAATAGCTTTTAAAATTAGCCATGATAAAAATCATTAATTAAACAAGGTTATTTAGCTAGTCAAGAATTTGTTAAATTGGCTGGGAAATGTTAAAGCAAATGATATTCTGGGGAAAAAATTTAATGCTCGATCTGGACTTAAAGCCTTACATTAAGGACCATAAGGAGTGATCGTAATAATAATACATGGAGGGAGTGCATGAAGTGGGTGTGATGATTTGAATGTGAAGCCAGCAAAAATAGCCCAAACATGGCAGCTCAGTTCAGTGACAAGGCAAAGCTGGGTCAAGAAAATACCAACCCAGACAAAGGTGGATTAAATTTGGCCCACGCAATCTAGCTCACATGCCAAACAGGCACCTCTGTCCCACCACCCCAAAAAGAATAACTGCCCATTGCATCACTCTCCTCTTTGTCTCTCTATGCCCTCACAAAGTAAGGTTGTATAAAAATCCTTCAATTCAATATAATTCGGTTCAATTCAGGACAAACTCAGTCATGTTTAATCTAGATAAAAATTGATATTTTAAGATTAAAAAGACTAAAAAAATTAGATTCTTTATTTGGGTTGACCTGGACAAGAAACCAAACATTTAGACTACTTGGTCCGGTCTTATAAATTTATTTAATATAATTATAATTAATTTATCAATTATTATTATAATAAGTTAATTTATAATAATAATTAGTATTTTTTGTGTTTTATACTTGTGAAATCATGAATATTAAGAAAAATTCTAGCATTGACCAATCTTAATCTTTGTTTTTGTATTTCTTTGTGTTTTATACCTGTTGTTAGAGATTTTCGTGAATTTATAATTTTTATTGTTGCGATAAATTTTATATGATTATAAGTAATTTTACTATATTAATTGAGTTTATTATGTTGAAATAAATTATTATCTCTCATAAATGAAAGACAAAAAAAGTGAAATGCTGAACAAGATTAGGATCAATCTTCTAATCCTATTAGATTAGTTCAATCTTGTTGAACTTTAAATTATATTAGATCAGACTTTAGGTTAGATTGGAATCTCTCACATCATTTTTTTGTGCAGCCCTATCACAAAGCACGAGGCGCCAAATTTGTGCCGTCGCTTTCCTAGTTCAACAATTTAGCAGTGAAAGATACAATCTAATATTTAATGAAAAATTCTTCATGCACTATAGAGTGGTGTTTTGACTCTAGTTTTGGGCTGCGCAGATATTGCTCAATGGCCACCCTTTTTTCACAAATGTCATGTCTTCTTTCTAGTGTTTAATTACTCAAAAAATCCCTTCCAACAACTTCCTGCCATACTATGACAGCTCCAATTGCTCATTCGCTTGCTTTTTTGATTATGTATTGTGATACTATCCCTTGATCCAGTGGTTACAGCTTCCTCAAAACTTCTACTTCCCTTTTGGCCACCTGTTGCCCAAGTCTTTGGGGGTTTGTGGTGGCTGATTTGGGCATCAACTTACATTTTGTATTATTGGAGGGCATAATTGTCATTGATGTACATCTCAAGCAACGAGGAGTGAGCATTTGGTTGGTTCAATTGATCCAATTTTGATTTATCGAAAACTGATCGATCGAATCACATAAAAAATTTGGATTGAATAAAATTAAAATACTTGACCAAACTGAATTAAAATCAAACCAAATTATAATGGTTTCATTCAATTGGTCTATTTGGTTTATTGGCTTTGATTTGGGTCTATGGAGTCTAATTATTTATATATTCTTCTATTCATTTTTTTTATGTTGAAGGCCCAATAAAAAAATAGTAATTTTATACCATAATTCATGAAAAATTAATAAAACTCAGTATTATTGCATTAAAAATTAAATTATAGAAATAAAAAATAAAATATCACATTAAACAAAAAAAATACAGCTACTACAAGTGGTAGAAAGATGTGTTTTTAATCACCTAGATAAGAATTTATTCAACTTTTTAAAAATATAAAAAGAATATATATATATATATATATATACACACACATATATAATTTAGGTGGTTTGGTTTATTTGGTTAAAAAATTTTCAGATTGAATCAAACTAATAATTAAAATTTTTATTAAAAGAAAATTAAATCAAACTGTATAACCGAAGAAATAGAATCAAATTGACTAAATTCAATCTGATTTTTAATTTCAGTTCAATTTTGCTCACCCCTACTCAAGCATATGGATGTATTTGGTTGATAACAGCGGCCCCTTTTCTAAGGTATTTAAGTGTGCGTTCTAGAAATTGTTTATGGAGAGACTGACGCGCATAAAAACTGGTTTTCAACTTTGCATTTCACTCACATCGTATGCTCGCCAGTTCAGACTCGGGACTTCTTTTACTAAGCTAATGCATGTTGTTCCTTTATAATTAACCAATGAGTTTTGTATACTTGTGCATGCTAGTTGTAAGCTTGTTTTCTCATCATTTCAAACCTGTAAAAGGTTTTTTGGATCTTGTACCATGCATCTGGTAAACTCTGAAATGAATGAGATAGTGTTTGAAGCTTACAATTAATAATATTTTATAAATAATAACATAATTAAAGGTGTGGTATTATGTTAGCCTTGACACGTTCTTTTTCCTTTTGTTGCACGGCTCCAAAAGATTAATTTTCGCAACTAGAATTGCTTTGTAAAAGCTATAAGCCAGCCAACAGGTGATATGAATAGTAATCGTCATCGTGGCACTGGTGCTAATGCTATTAAGTCGAAGACACTCATGATAATATATAAATTTTATTTCAAATAAAGCAATGTTGAATTTAATTTAAATGCTTTTATTAGGGTGTTCAAGTGAGTGAATTTAAACTAATATGAAAAGTTTTGCATCAAATAAAGTTGAGTTTAATAACTAATATATAATATAAAAAAATGATCCACAAACTTGAACTTTAAAGGTTTGAGTTAAAATGTTATATCTTTCTATTACTCTTGTTTGTTTCTCACTATTTCATTTTTGGGTGATTGTTCTTCATTTTTAATAAGTGGTATTAGAACTAAGTTTTTTTTGAGACCTAAAAGCCCTTTATTATACCTAGCCCTAATATTATGTTTGGAAGATTTTTTTTTAGGGTGTAATAGAGTGGAGTGGAGTAGGATGGTCAAAAAATCTAAACCATTGTTTATAAGTTTTTTTTTTTAAAAAAAGGGGGATGGAATGGCAAGGAAGAGTTTCTATTTATAGCTCAATTTTTTTGCCCCCTTAAATTGGAAGTCAATGATAGACTGACATAATATAATTATTTTATTTATAAAATTACCCCTAACCTTTGATCCTGATAAAAAAAATACCATTTGTTATTTTTATTTTCCAGTCATCTCTCTCCCATCCTCTTAGGGCTGCACATAGGCAAGGTTGGGTTGGGCATTACCCTTTCTCGGTGCCTAGCTCGATGTGCAATCAAGCATCAGGCTGACCCAATTGGCTTAAAAATATTTTTACAAGTATTTTTTTAAAAATATATAAAAAAATTCCTTCAAAAAAAATATGATTATTATTTAAAATATATTCTTAAAACTAATATTAGAATCAAAAGTAATTTGTTAAAAGTTCAAATGAATAAATTTTTTAATTATTTTTATATAATAAGTTAAAAATAAATTTTAAAAAATAAAAGAGATGTAAAAAATTCAAATTTTGGCTGACAGGCATTTGAGCATAATGCACAGCCCTAGTTTTCGCCATATCTCTCTCGCTCCTACCATCTCTCTATCTCTCTCATGCCTTTCAATGCTGTAACTCTGTTGTGTTTTCCTCTTCTGCAACGAGAATGTTTGTTTGAGTAGTTCTATTGCTTGCCTTTTCTTTTTATTCTTAACTCTTAGACCGTTAATTTTAAGTATTATCATTTTTTGTTCAAAAAATATTATAAATATTTAATGAGCATTATTATTTTTTTTTAAATTTAGTCATATGGGTAAAATAGAAAGAAAAAAGTTTTAATCCATTCCATTCTATCCATTTTATGATAACTCCCGAATAATGATTATGTAAAACTGTTCTTTTCCATCATAAAACTTTCAAGCAATGAAAAAATTTGTTCTATTCTACTCCACTCCACCCCATTCTATTATGCTCCATTGATGATCATTCCATTCCATTCAATTTTAAACTTTCAAACTCACTCTAAATATGAGAAACTTGGTGTTTAGAGTATCTTTAAATACGAGAAACTTTGTATCAGAGGTTGGCTTTGCCCATGACACGCTTGAGGGAGAAATTGTTAAGTTGTGCAAGTGTAAATTAATTTGAGATAATGTGAAAAGTTTCACATTAAATAAAGTTAAATTTAATAATTAATATATAAAGGAAGAATGACTTGTAAACTCAAGTTTTAAGGCTTTGAGTTATGATGTGGCGTTCTTTCACTACCTTTATTCGTTTCTTCTCTCCCTTTATTCTTAGGTAACTGTTTCTTATTCATAATAATTTTAAAATGAAATATCTCCTGAATACAAGAGAAAATGAGACAAAATATGAATATATGTAAAATTATTTCACTCTACTATCCGTGATTTTTACTTTACTCATTAGGAAGATTCTTTGGTAAAATCTCAAATAAGGTAACAATGAAATATCATATTTTAATGTTGTTGTCAACAAGCTTGAGCTTTTGATGCTGACTTGTTGACTTTAATTTGACGCGTCTACTCAACTGCTGATCTACATAGCAAAACGATAATGTTGGAGAAATCATTAATTGATAGGTAAAGGTAAAATTAGAACGGTACAATACATGTGCGGGTGAAATGAAGGGGATGAGTGTGGAGGGTTAAAAGGTTGGGCAAAGAAATGTATGAAGGCGGGATGGTGGCATTGTGGGCGGGTTTTAAGGTTCCACGTGTATATACTTATATGCGCGGGGTTATATACCAAAACACAGTCCATCCAATTCTTTTTTACAAGCTCTTGTTGATTAGTTAAAGCAAATTAAAGAATTTAATTAATTAGAATTAATCAAAAGCTTTTAAAATTAACCATAATAAAATTCATTGAGTCAATGATCAAAAGGTTATTTAAATAGTCAAGAGTCTGTTAAAGGATAATATTAAAGCAAATGACATTTTTGGGGAAAAACAGTGCTCGGTTTAACTCAAAGCCTTACATTAAGTCATCAAGGACCATGAGGAATGATCTTAATAATAACAAATGAAGGGAGTGCAATAAGTGAGTGTAGCGGAACGAAAAGAAATGGTAATTAATAGAACGGAATTGAATGGGGTGTTGTGGGACCAAATGCAACATTCTATTATTTGAGAGTTTTATTAAAAAATAAATTATTTTATTTAATTATTATTTAAGAATAATTATAAAATTAATAGATCCGAGTTAAATATAATTATACTTTTCAGTTTTACACAAAGAGGGTGAAAGAGTAAGAGGGGTGAGAAGGATAAGGATAATTTTATAATAATGCTATTTATATTATAGCATTTCATCCTTGACCTCCAAATTCAAGGGTCAAAAAAAATGAGTTTAAGGTAATAAGAGATGGGTTGGAAGACCATTACAATCCATTTCACTTTCTTTTAAAAAATTATCTTAAATAATAGTATAAGACTTTTAGCCATTTCATTTTATTTTATTTCGTCTTAAAAATAAACTGTCAAACATTACTATAAAAGTAGCAAAATATCCCAAATCTTAGTTTGTTCAGTTCAATAAATAGGGAAAACTAGGTCAATTAACTAGAGTTGTGTTTAACATAAGATACTAATATCTCATAACGTGGCAAATTAAAATTTAAATCATTCCCAAGACATATGTCCTACTTTAGTGCCTGACAATACTCTAAACAAGATTGTTTTCAATAGAAAGATGCTCATGAAAAAAGTAAAAAGAGAGAGAGAAAGCTAGGTTAGCAAAACAGCATCCTAAAGAAAAGTGGATTAAATTTGGCCCATGTATACATGCCATTTGAGTTTCATTTTATATTTGGCAAAAGTACATTTGAGGGATTCAATTATTTGTTAAATTTGACAAAAAAAATATCCCAAACGTGTTTTGAATGTATTATTGAGAGTTACACAGTAAGCTTGTAATTTAGCTCACATGCTAAACAAGCACACCCCCCCCCCACACAAAAAAAAAGTGCCAATATTTGATCACTCTCTTCCTCGTCTCTCTTTGCCCTTATAAAGCACGTAGTGTGATAACCCTTAACTCTAATGTAATTCAAGATCAACTAATATCGAATATATTAAGGAGTTGATATTCTAAAATTCTAACAGTTAAAAATATTAATAAAAAGGGTTTGTTCAAACTATTTTAAAAAAACAATAAAAGCTATTTCTATGTTTTTATTTATTTTAATGAACAAAATTAGAATGAATAGAGTAAAATGAATATGTAAAAATGTGAGTAAAATCAAAGATATGGACTTCTTTTTGATGACTTAGCTACTTAATTCTTACTCCTAATTTTAATTTTAATTCCTCTTCAATTAATTGAGTTAAAAATATCTAGATTTTTTTAAGTTGAACATCAAGTTATTTATTATTACTAGTGGCCGGTTAGCAACAATAAACAACTCAATACTATAAAAATTACTCAATTATTTGATTGATTAACTTGGACAGCCCTAATTTTTACTCCAATCATAATACAATCTATGCTCATTTGAGATTTTGAGTATTAGCCAACAAGTATAACAAGCACAATTGTATCTCATTTATATAAATTGGCAAGTAGCAATTACATTCAACAAAGGAATGTAACAATTAAATCTATTCAAGAAACAAACTAATCCAAAATTAATTTCAAACGCCTCAAGTTTGTCAACATTAGCCATACATTCATGAATTCAAAGACGTAGTATTAATATCTCAACAAATTCAATCCCAATTAGAGAGGTTAAAGGAGAAGAAAATTATCATTAAAGTAGAGCTCATAGATGTGTTGTCTCCAAGGGAAGGAAAAGCTTAGTCGTGTATGAATCTAAACTTCGAAACTCCATCAAATAGCTTGAAGAACGCTTTCATGGCAGCTCTGTAGGTGAAATTTTGAACAACAAAATTTTTAGCAAACTCGAACAAGATTGATAAGGTTTCAATGTGTGCTGAGTGAGAAAGACATTGGTAAGATCATATCGTAATTTGGATAGTTAGACATTAAAAAATGAAAGAGAGAAGTTGTTGAGACGAGAGTGGAGAGAGAGACACATTGTAAATGGAAAAAAAACAAAGATAATGATAATGAGGGAAAACCAAATGACGTCCTTAGAGAAGTAAATTCAAAATTGCCTACGTCCGAAGTCTTGCTTGGCCAAGCAAAAAGACGATAAAAAATGAATTATACTGCGAGTGTCTTAAAATAGTGTGAGTATATGTGTGTCTAAAAATATGTGTGAATATGATAAAATATTTATAAAAATTTATTTAAATGCTAAAAGAATAAAGTAACAAAGAAGAAAATTAAAAATTCTAAATAAAACTAAACTATTTGTACACCTTATGTATAATGATGCAAGTGGAAAATAAAAAAAATAAGATGAAAAATTAGCCATTAACAAGCTATTCCCAAAAATATATTAAGTCCAATAAATTTAAATGATGCTCAAAATATTCAAAATAAGTGTTAAAAATTAAGAATAAAGAGAAATAAAATAATATAAAGAATTATGATTTATCACGGTGCCAAATTTGCGCGGTGGCTTTCCTAGTTCAACAATTTAGGACTAAGCATTCAAACCAAAACAGTAATAGTCGTGAAGTATACAGTCTAATATTTAATAATAAATTCTGTATGCACTGTGGCCTGTGGAGGAGGTTTTTTCCCTAGTTGGTTGACTTTAATGTTTGTTTCACTTCCATCATGTTTCGTTTAATTCGAAAACAAAATACGGTGATTTTAACAATATACGATGCCTGGGGACGAGATTATGATTCTGTTTATTTTTTTTTGGGGGGGGCGGGTGTTTCGTCAAGTTGATCACGTCGAAATGTTATTTGACTATCCTTAATCAATGACATAACATGCGCGCGTCGTGTTTAATATTCTCACAAGTGGGATGCAAAGCTGTCATTTGATAACTGAAAGACAATAATTAACTTTATTTATGTTCCTTCGCTTTATTTATGAAGATTAAAAAATTCAAATTTTTAAAAACCAAAAAGAAATAAATAGAAGGTGAGGCGGCGTGTGAATGTCGTTGGCTCGCAGCGGGATAGTCTGGTTCTGGTTGCATTCCCGGGCCTTACTAATAGTTGACAAATATCTGCATTGTTTGAGGGAGTCTGACTTCGACATTATCTTCTTTTGCAATTGGACACCCAGCGTCGGCGTAATTAGCTCCATGAATAAAAAAATGGCGCCCATGGGATTAAGATTATTTAAGCAGCAACTTTCAAGACGCAAGCACTCGTCAAAATAAATCGGTGTCGCACGTGACATTCTACACGTGTTGAAGTCCTACTGCTTATTTTTTCGTTGGGTTTGGTATAGACAACAGTACGACCAGATTGGTTTTGGGTTCAGTGACAACTGTAATTTTCACTGTCGGTGATGCGTAATGGTTTGGTTTCCTCGCTTCTTCCTCCTCCCCAAAACTACTTCCTCCAACTGCTCCCTCGTTGCATTGCCATTGGCAATCCCACAACGTCGCCGTTTTCACATTTTCTTTCTTTTATTATCATTTTTTTCGCTCCATCTTCCACGAGACCATACTGTGTATCCTATTTCCATCCCATGTGTCAGTGTCGTGTCGTTTTAGCAAGGTATAATGGTCTCCCTTTCTCTACAAAATTAGGCACTGCATTTTCTATTGGGTTAGACACGCAGTTGAGGGTGGATTTGCTACGCTGCTAGTGGGAATGCGAGTTGCTTGATAATTGAACAATGCACGCCAAGACGGACTCGGAGGTGACAAGCCTGTCGGCATCGTCTCCGACGAGATCCCCACGGCGGCCTGTTTACTACGTGCAGAGCCCGTCCAGGGACTCCCACGATGGCGAGAAGACCACCAACTCCTTTCATTCCACCCCTGTGCTCAGTCCCATGGGTTCTCCCCCTCATTCCCACTCCTCGCTCGATCGCCACTCTCGTCAGTCTTCCTCCAGCAGGTTCTCCGGATCCCGCAAGATCCACCGCAAATCTCTCAAGCCCTGGAAGGAACCCCTCGCCATCGAGGAAGAAGGCCTTCTCGACATTGAAGACAACCACACCAACACTCTTCCCCGTCGCTGTTACTATTTCGCTTTCCTTCTTGGCTTCATCCTTCTCTTCTCTTTCTTCTCTCTCGTTCTCTGGGGTGCCAGCAAGCCTATGAAGCCCAAAATCACCATGAAGGTTCCTCTTCCCTTCCCTTTCTCCTCTCCTGTTTCCTGTTTTTAACGGGTCGTCGGTCCGTTCATTCGTTTGCATTCGTTTTGCAGAGCATCAAATTTGATCACGTCAGGGTTCAGGCGGGTTCCGATTCCACGGGAGTTGCTACCGATATGATCACCATGAATTCTACCGTCAAATTCAAGTATCGTAACACTGGCACATTTTTTGGGGTCCACGTCACATCAACGCCTCTAGATTTATCCTATTCGGAAATCAAAATTGCTTCCGGAATTGTAAAAACTCGTCCCATTCATTGCTTCATTAGCATGTCAGCCGCAATCTTCTTGTCTTTTGTGACTCAGTTTACTATGGGTGATATTGCAGATGCACAAATTTTATCAGTCGAGAAAAAGTCAAAGGACGATTAGCGTGGCTGTGATGGGGAACAAGATTCCTCTGTATGGAAGTGGTGCGAGCCTGAGCAGCACCACGGGCGTGCCCGCGGTGCCAGTACAGTTGAAATTGAACTTCGTGGTCCGATCGAGGGCCTACGTGCTTGGGAAATTGGTGAAAGCCCAAGTTCTACAGGAGGATCGCGTGCTCCATAACTTTGGATCCCAAGAAGATCAATGACCCAATGTCCCTGAAAAAATCTTGCACGTACGATTGATGCGGAACCAGGAAGTGACACGGGAAAATCACAAAATCTCTTTCTCCTTATCGTTTGTCGATTCTTTAGAAGAGCAAGGAATCGGAAGAATTGGGGGATCCAGCCTAATAACGTTAGGCCAGAATGCGAACAAGTAGTTTCTGGACTTCGTTTCCTTTTTTTTTTTTTTTTTTTTTTTTTTTTTTTGTTTTGTTTTAGCCCAATAGCGGAAAAGATGAAGGTCTACTGTGAGTGATAAAAATGATGAGTCAGACTCCATTACATTGTGCAAGAAAGAAATAATTTATTCAATCTCAGCGTCATGGGGACGCTTTATTGTGGCTTTTGTCAAGGCTGATTGCGTACAATGAAATAATGATACGTTTACCATTTAGCCAAAAAGTCCGTGTGTGTCTGCGCGCGAATTGCTGGAAAAGTGTGCGTCCAAAGGAGAGAAGCGATTCCAGCTGTTGATTTCTACACTTGTTAATCAAGGAAATCGTTAGGAGGGGAGGTCAGGCTATGCTGACAGGATTGAGAGCAGTGGACCGTGTTAGTTACGTGAGTGGGAGATCGTGAATATGAATACGATACTAATATAGGTTAAGTGATATATTTTGACCGGGGGTGTTAAATTGCCCACAGGTCGAACCTATGCTTGGGATTGGGCGCAATATCATCCATACTTGTCGTTCACTCCATCCCCAAATTCTTGCGCATAATAAACAGTGTGGTATTTATACAAAACTCCAAAATAATATTTTTTAAAATCTGACCGAATATTAAACTGAAAAAATCTAAAATTCACAATTAGTATGGTCCAACTTAATGACTGAATCGGTGACATAATAATTAAATTTAAAAAAATTATAATGTATTTAATAATCTAAATATATTAACTTAAAAATAAAATAAAATATTTTAAGTTTACCATAACTTAAATAATTTTTATGATACAATATAATATCAAATAATTAAAAAAGTAATTATTTTTTAAAAAAATTGATAAAAAATTTAAAAAAGGGTTTTTTTGAATAGCCTAATTTTTAAAAATTGGACCCAATTTTCACTTTGATCTCAGTTTTTAATCTAACCGGTGGTCTAAGCGGTTCAATTAGGTTCAACTTTTCAAACAATCTTTTTAGCTTGATCGAATCTTAGCCAAAGGATCGACAGTTCAATAAATTCAATTTAATTTTTTAATTATTGTCATGAAGTTACAAGCAACCTTTTAATATGCAACCCTGTTTTCCGGGGGGAAAATCACAAGCAAGCAACGTTCAGAGCCATGGATTGGGCAGGCAAAGGGGGAATATCCTGTGACTTGCATTAATTAAAGCAATAATAACGGGGTCTGAGAAGCAGGGACTATGTGTGAACCATTTCCCACAAGTTCAGAACAATGCGCATCGTCATCTCTCACGTCACGTGAATGGGCCCTGGTAATCAGGCAAAATTAGATATGACCAGAATGACATGAAGAAGTCCAAATCCTCAATCCGGGTGCAACCTCGAATGAAAAATCATTACATGTGATCTGATCACAATTCTATGTATAAGGTCTTTTTTTAATTTTTTTTATTTCTAAATATAAAAAATCATTAGTATATTTTTTAATAAATAAATCATTATATTTTTATTAAATTAAAAAAATAATATTTTCATTAATTTATTTTAAAAAATAAATTTATTTTTTATTTATAATAATTAAGAGCAAAATTGAAATATTGTTGTGCTTTTAATTAGATAACTAACTTTTATTAATTTATATAATTTTATTAAAAATATCTTATACTCTTCTTGTCTCAAATTATAAGATATTTTTAAAAAATTTTTCCATTTTTTAAAAATATAAGACACTGTGAGTATATTAAAGTTTCATTAAATGTAACACTTTGAGTATATTAAAATTTTATTAAATGTATTATTTTTAATATTATCCTTTCTCTCTCTATAATTAATTTTTATCTCTTCTCTTTTTAATATATTAAATGACTGGTATTCTTAAAAATTTTTATTTTTGAAAGATAATGTTGTTAAATGTGTTTAATGAGGTTTATTGATATGTAAGATTTTATCTAAAAGTGTCTTATAATTTGAGATTGAGGAAGTATATAAGGACGAAGAGAGCATTGTGGAAAATTAAATTTGCTTAAATTAAATGAAATTAAATCCACACCAGTGGTGTTGATTGGACAATGTGGGGTTCCCTCAGTCTCGCTCACCAAATTTGATGTTTTCGTGGAAAATTAGGCCAGGCCGTAAAAGATCTTCAACGTCCATGTTGGAGCTAAATAGAGGCGAACGAAAATGTTCGAAGGTGGCATTCCCTGGCCAGATTCAATTGACATATTTTACAAAGGAAGAGGGACAACTAAAATTGGTCTCCAGTAGTTTCAACGAACACGCACCGCCAAAGAAAGATGGAAGCCACGGAAAATGCGTCCCCTTCTTGAATTAAACTCAAAAATTAAGGACACTCCATTTTCCAAACATCTAACGATAAGTTGGCTTTATGTATTTGAATGTATATATAATATATGATAGAATTAATAAAGACTTTCATGTCTACTTGATTTGACTGAACTTCATATATTTCTCCGTCGCACTTAATTGACGGATAGAAGGAAATTTTTTTCACAGGGTTTCCTAATTTGTGGCAATCAATGGGAAAAGCTTTCGCCGCCCACCCAATCACTCTAGTTTTTCGGCTTCTGGAGTATTCTTGAAGTATATGAAGATTTTTTTAACCTTCAGAATCATATAAAAGATTGAGTGCAGGATTTTTTAGGGAGTGTTGAAGCTAGATTAATTTCTCTCTTCTACGAACTCAATTTCTTGAAATTTGTCATGATAGTTTAGAATTATAGTTGTGTTTTGATTGTTATTTTCATGATCATAAGTAACTAAATCTCCTAGTTACAGGCAAAGATGTAGCCTAAATGAGAGAACTGGACTTCTAAGATCTATCTTGACTCTTAAGAATTTATTATTTATATATTTATGTGATTTTAGAATTTATTATTTATATATTTATGTGATTTTAGTTATATCTTTCTCTCTTGTATTTTTTATAGATTTTATGATTGGTCGTCATATAATCTGTTGGATTTTATAAAAACTCTACCTTGATGGACTTGGGTGGATGCAAGCCCAAAAAAAAAAATATCTATATATTGTTTAAGTTCATTCAACCAAGTTCACCCATTTCTTGCTAGTTAGATTTGATTTTATTGAGATTAATAAAATTTTTCCCTTCCCTTAAGTTTCGACACTTGAAATATTATAGACAGGTTGTTACCACGATCTCGTGTGTACTTATAGTTGCAAATCAATTTATGTTATTGAATTACTAACCTTCATCAATACCCGATGGTAAATTTTCAGGAGCAAACAATAATGACTTCAGAGAATATTATCAGCATCTAAAGCCTCGTTTTCCCTTATACGTCCATGAAATTCGTGAAATTTTTACAAAAAATGGTAAATTTTTTAAGGTTCCATTTCAAAACCATTTCTGTGTCACGTTTCATTATTCTCTGTCCCATTTTTCCCAAGCTCATTCCATTTATAATTTTTTTTAGTGCCTGCCATCCAGCTTGGATCGTCCACGTAAGCATCAAACTTGGTCTGAACTCTTAACCATGAGGGCCAGAGTGGGCAGTGCCAGTTGGATCATTTAGTTTGTTTTCTTTGAAGCCAGGGAGGAGATTCTACGACTGGATTGGATTGGGCGAGTCAAGAAAATTGCGAGCGAGTGGGACAGCTAGAAGATAAACACGAAGGGAATTTATCCCCCAGGGAGCAGCTCGTCATTCCAAGGGGAGGGGCTCCTCTTTCCCTCTACGCACATCCATGGCTCTCTCTAAGCACCAGTTACAATCTCTCAGGCAATTGAAGTTGCTAAACAAATCAATTCCCTTTCTTTCTCTCTTTTCTGGCAATTATTCTAGTATCATCTCTAATTGTTCCTCCTAACCTTTCCCCAGAAATTTGTAAACACTCGATGGTCAAATTTCGCGGTCGGTCGCTTGCTACAACCCCGCTCATCTACGAGATCAGTCCGATGCCCAGCATCCTCGCTATGTTCCTCCTTGTATGTAAATTATTCTCCTTTGCCTTTCCATTTTTTATTTGAATCCTTTGTTTAATTTGTTTTATATGCTATCGCGTGCATATGCACTGCCATGAAAAGAAATAAGTTAAGAAATGAGCATGACTATGTTTTATGAAACTCTTTGTCAAATGTCAACTCGAGTAATTGAACCGCTATGAGTGTGCACGTTCAGAATTTTGATCTCTTATTTCTTAGACTTTCTCTCGTCCCGTTATCCCCAATTGTTCGATGCTACTTTATTCTTAGGTTCGTATGTTGAATTGATGCCGCAATTTAAGGGTTGTTGTGCTTGTTCAGTTCACGTTGTTGGGTTTGCACCAAGACCAGTCCCTGCCGCTGACGGCAGTGATGGTGGAGCTGAATCAGCTGATGTGCAATGGAATTATGATTTGGAACCCGAGCGGAAAAGACTAAAAAACAAGATTTTCTGGAGAACAATTCTCAGATTTCTTCAGTAGATTTTCTGCAACCGCGATCTGTTTCCACTGGACTGGGCTTGTCATTTGATAATACCCGCTTGGTTTCCACGGGAGACTCGGCTTTATTGCCACTTGTCGGTGACGACTTTGATCATGAGTTGCAACAACAGGATGCGCAAATTGATAGGTTTCTCAAAGTGCAGGTTAGTGCAATTTATGGTTGTCTAGTTTGCCTTTTCATCTTTACTTATTTTATGAGGTTAGAATTTCTAGTTAAACTTGACTGATACCACCACCAAAGTAATATTCCATCAACACAAAATTCTTTTTGGCCACTGCCAACATGCCATACTATTTGTGAATACTCTGTCATACTTCCATTGCAGTAGCTATTAACTTGTTCCCAATGTTTGTTTTAACTAAAAGGAAGGTAAATAGAACTGCAATAATAGCATGATGAGTTTTTGTGTGTTTCCCTTTACAACAAGTTTATCGCTTTGCTGGGTTCGTAAATGTGTTTATACTTGTTTGATATCTAGTTTGATGTTTATGGTGAATACAATCTAGTTTTACCTAGCCAAGGTTTAACCAAATGTCTAACACATGGTCGGGCATCAGGATCTTTGACACTGGCTTTAGTTAGCTATATGTAAGGGATAATTATCTGCTTCCTATACTTATGTATCAAGTGTTAGTCCTGTAAAGGTCAAATTATTTAAATAAACTAGATATTAAAAGTGTACTTACATTGATGACATTAATTAAAAGGTGTGGAATGACGAATCTCTTTCATTATTGCAAAGTAATTTGAAGGAA